TTTTGATTGTATAATATACACCAGCTATATCAAAAGTTTATACTCTTGGAGAGTTCAGTAATCGCTCAAAACAGCTCTGAATTCTGTGCGACACCAATGCGTAGCAGCTCATACTTTGGCATACGGTATAAACATTTGGTTGCTCTAATGCTAACCCTGATTAACAGGGACGGGCGGCGCGGCTGCAACTGCGTATTTTAAAATATCTGATGAATTTTCCATATTTTTAACACTTTAGTAAAGTTATGATATATATTTTCGATCTAGAAATTACAGACCAATGTCTTGCATAAGTTTATCTTAATCTTTTTTTCAGTCTGTATTTGATCATAGAATAATATTGTTCAAAGTCTTGAAACACTATAACAAATTTTTTTACAGAATGATTGCTCGTCAAATTGCTCGTCCTCTCATTCAAGCTGTCCGTCAAGTTAGTTTCAATTTTTTTTAAAAAATCCTGTGATTGTTTATAATTGAATAGTGAATAACGGCCAAATTTTAGGGAAGCCATTCTGCTCCAGCTAAATACATCGGACAGAACCCTACTGCTTTCGTTCACGACGGTTGGGCAACTGCTGTAAGTTCCTCATGTTTTTTTATGATTAATCGCTTGGGTTATTTAAGCGTCTTCCTTTCCATGCCACAAACAAATGGGGTTTGGCAGTCAAGTCTGTCCTGTTCCTCGCTGTTGGATTCTGGGCTCCATTCCTTGTTGTCGAATACCAACTCAGAAAGGCTAACAGCAACAATTAAACCTAGTGAATTTATCCAGAGGTAGATAAATAATGTAAAGTGATTTTCGTTTCTCTCAATGATACAGTTTCACAATGAATAACAAAACAAATCTATTGAAAGCGTATGAGCGCGGGCTTATATGTCGTAAAGCTTTAGAGCTGTGGTTCTGTAAAACAGTGAGAGACCGAGTTTACGGAGCTTGTTAAACTTTGTATTTGTACCTGGTTCAACTTATATCTTGAGTTGTCTCTTCATGGTTTGTGACTTCTCAATTTGCTTCTTGTCGACCTTCTATCGGACACTATCTGTCTCTCTAACAGATTCATGCTATTGCCTAGAAAGCATCTATTTGCTCCGGTGGGCGGACCTGAGCGAATGTCCGTTCACCTGTATTGATCGACCTTACTATGCATTTCCGACTAATACCGGACACAGGTTAGGAGCATAGAAAGTATTATTTTTGTGTTATGACTGATGCGTAATGATTGAGGGCGCCCTTAGTCATCTAATGGACAGCAAAAAGACTGAAAGATAGTCTGTTCAATACGTATTCTCTCTCTCACACCTTGAAGTATTGCGTCGATTTGTTTCTCACTTTTTTCATCTTCAATACCGAAGTGCATCTTGATTGTTTCCATTTTTTTTCTCTCGCGTTGTTTACTTGTTGGATGAACTAAGAGCTGCGGTGTCTTCACCAAAATGTCTTAACTATTTCTCTCAACTAAAACTTAATAACCTTCTTCCAACAGACAACTGATCATGGTCTTGACAGAACCCTGTCGAAATAGTTTCTGCAGATTCTTTCCGTTTTTACTGAGCAGATACAGCCCTGAAAACGGCATTAATAACATCAGAAGTTCTAATGATATGAATCCGCCTTGATCAATCGATATTCCAATATTCATCCGTCTGACTCATTCATTTCTCGTTCACAGCCGCTGAATTGGGATGAATGAAGCTGTATGTAACACAAAACGGATATTTTTCTATTTTTGGCAGTTCACTAGGGCATGACCCTACTGATAATCCGTTAATTGTACCTCACCGCTAACGATTCCTATAAGAGAACCTATTATCTATACCACTCTCTGTGTCTAACTTCCTCTTACCTATTAACAGTCTCTCGTCTTTCTGTCTTATAAGCTCTTCAGATATACATGTATTTACATAAATGGGAATTGATCATTTGACCTGTCTGCTGCTACCTCAGCTTATATTCTCAGCTTTTGCTTCGTTTTGTATTCTTCGTTACTCGAATTTCTTCTTCGCAAACACAATGAGTTTCAGAACATCTCTTTGATTCCCATAAAACATAGTTTATGATTTGAAAAATTCTATTCTAATGACAAAAATTATAACTTACTTGGTCTACTTGATTGGAGTCGCAACGGCAGATCTATGGACAGAAACAGAACGAATTAGTGATTTACAACAATGGAGAGCTCTATGTGGTCGTTATACTGTAGCGGAAGCTTATATGAAGGATAGCAACGCTCGCATTACCGTGTTCGCTCCTGTCGACGATGTTTTTACATACAATCCTAATATCCGGGCTCTTGATCAGAAAGAAACACTGAGCCACATAGGTGCAATCTTTTAAGTTTCTTTGATGACTTTCTCTTTTTCAAGTTGACACTCAAGTTGTTGAAATAACTCAGGGACAACGTTGGGAAAAGCAGACCCTGATCCGTTCTACAGTTAACAGCGGATATGTTTATATTACACAGTTTGAAAACAATCCTGGAAATTTTGTTAGTTCGGTTCTCTTTATCTTGTTTTTCATTTTTACCTTTTGAGTCCTATTTTGCTAATGCTGGAATGCTGTGCAACCATGCTTCCAACCAGTGGGGAATGATCAGCGGTGAACAGTATCTCTTCAAGGTATTTCGACTTATCCTCGAAGTTTTCGAGATAACTTTGAATCATTCTTTCTATCCGAACGAGAATGATCTTCACTGAAAATGAATAGAATTCATAAGATCTGTTTCCAGATTTGCACTCCTTTTGGTGAACGGCCCTATCCTGGAACGGCTCTATCATTCATTCGTGATCCCGATCAAATTTTATTCGAAGACCGCCAGTATAACAACAACGATTTAACGTATATTCTTCCACATCTCAACAGTTTGGCAAAACTACTTTCAGAGAGTTACGAGATATTCTGAATCGCGTACCAGACATCGCCCTTGTAATCTACGGAAGTTCAGCGTGGAACGGCTTTCACACTTTCTTTCTACCTTCAAACAAAGCTTTTGCAAAGGTATATTCATACCTGCCTTCTCAAAATATTTTCGAATTATACAGGTGATTGATCGAAATAGAATAGATCGCGAAGTTCTTTTGGCTCACGTAACTGGAATGAACCGAGTTTTATTCACTTGGCCCTGGTTATATGATGGTGGTGTTCATTATTATCCATCTGTTAGGTAAAGACTAGATAGAAATTAATCATAAAACAATCGTACCAGATTCTCATCTAATATCATTGAAGACAACTTCAAATTAAAGCTTTCCATGAGGAATATCACTGATAGACGAACTGGTCGATATGACTGTAGGCTTAAATAAGATTTCAATAAAAAAGTTTTTTAAATACTTAAGTATATGCCGTGTCCGAGGTTTACGAACGGTATTCCCAATTTCGTCGAGGAGCTGTGTGGGCCAAGATATTGGTTCCAAATATTCCTGTTCAAAACGGAGTTGTTCATATCATCGATAATGTGCTTGGGATTGTTTCAAACACTATAGACCAGGTAACCTATTTCACAACAATACTTTGTTCAACAAGCAAAAATATTTAGTTATTGATGGATAATTATCGTTGCACTACCTTAATGAGATATATTAACACTATTGGCCAAATTGTAAGGAATTACTTCTCAGCAACTGGAGGACTTGTTACATTTTTCGCTCCTTATAATGAAGCCTTTGAAAGAATCCCAGAAGAAGTTGAAAGGAGGCTTTTGCGAGACCGAGTGTGGTTGGAGCAGGTAAAACTGAAAATAAATGTGATGAAAAAGTGTTATTTGTTTCAGATCTTGAAACTACATATAGTCCCGGCTAAAGAGCTGACATCAGACGAAATCAATAATGAGACGATTGTCAACACAGTGGACAACATGCATCAATTGTATTTCATTAAAGGAGAATGGCCGAAAAACAACATAAGTATATTTTCTTTAAGTTAAGAGCATCGAAACATTTTATTAAGCTTATTATGTGATTGGCGGAGGCATAAGGACAGCTATAATACAGGATAATGTGGCTGCTACTAACGGAATTGTACATTATATTGAAAGAGTGTTAGGAGTTCCTTATCAATCTCTCTGGGAAGTTTTGCGGAACGAAACTCGTCTACAGTTTGTTGCACCCGTAACATATATAAACATTCCCACGTTTTCAGAACTTCCTTCCAAATGCTTAGTAATCTGCAACTGCGGTACGCACTAGATCCTTGGCAAGTTTTGACTCCTGAACAGAATTTCACATTCTTTGTTCCTACTAATGAAGCTTGGGATAAGGTTTAAAATAAGTAAATGGACTTATGCAATTGATAACCTTAGGTTGCACCGTCTTTGCGGAATCGAATGAACGATGGGAACCATTGGCAAGCTCTACAGTTCGTTTATAAGAGACACATTCTGCAAGGACAAGTTAGCTTATAAAATTTACAAGCTTATCTGTTTAATTTTCTTCAGGCACTCATGTACACTGATTTACGAGAGAGAACCTATGTAATGATGAACGATGAAAAAGTTGTTATAAGAAGAAGAGGAAGATGTAGAGACACTTTCTTTTATAACTAACCTATGCTACATCTTTCAGATTTTGAACTGTTTTGGCCGCGAGGTAATCGTGTTGCCCGAGTTATTGAGGGTGGAGAAATTGCAGGTTAGTGCTACGCCTAAGAAAAATAAGTCATGTACAAAATTAAGGTATCAACGGTTACATGCATATGATAGACAACGTTCTCATGTACGAGCCCGACTTGAGAGCAGAAGGATGTATGGCTGAGGCATTCGGCTGGCAAATGATTTTCGTGGTCGTGATGGCTTGGCTTCGACCTGGGTGGAGAACTGGCGATTAGTATGCAATAATCTCGCGTTTTTAATTTTTCCTTTTTCATTCGGGTATCCTCATGACTTAAGCAATGATCTTTTGTTATTCAATTAAAAGTTTCACAAAAATAATGTTTTATAAAAACAACAATAAGCTCGAATAATTTTGAAATATTCAAAATTCCAAGATTCGATTGTATTGAATTTAGTTGATCTTGAGAAGTTCAACGTCAAAGAGAAGAGTAGCGTTAGCAGGAACAGCTCCGGGAATTCCACGAGCTCCATATCCAAGGTTTGGTGGTACGGTAAGCTTAGCGCGTTGACCAATAGACATCTGAAGAATGGTATTCTTGCAATGCTCATTGATTGGAATTAAATTACTTGAGCAAGACCGTCATCCCATCCCTTGATGACTTCTCCTAATCCAAGCTTGAAGCTGAATGGAGATCCGCGATCACGAGAGCTATCAATCTGAAGTTCCAATATATAATGGTAACTAAGCCACACAAAGTACTTTGCTTCCATTCTCAAGGGTCAGAACGTAGTGGCATGACACTTTATCTCCTTTCTTGGGGAAATGGGTACCTCAAAAAAAATACTGAATAATTTGATAACAGAAGTGATCTACCATCTCCTTCAACAGTAGTTTCGATTTTCAAACTCATGGCTTCTGAAAAACTTCTAGATAGAATGAAACCGTTCTGTACAAGAGGTTGACGCAAAATAGAGGATAAAGAGAAGATGCCTCGTGACATCATTATGGTGACTTTTAAAGATAGCGAGCGATGTGCTGAAAATTTCAAGGCTACTACGAAAACAAAAAAATGTAAAAAGAAATTTGTGAACCTCAGCAAGCGCAATCTTTAAAAAACAAACTTCACATGACCAAATACAAAAAGGGTAGAAACATTAAACACAACAACAGATTTTTAGGCCACTAAACATTAATAAAAATTGCTGACCGCGGAGGGAGGAGCTAGTCCTAAAACACCAATAAATAAAGGACGAAGGAAATAGTCAATTGGAACAGAGAGACCAGGGATAGCAAGGGACTGCAGCAGAGCGCGGCAAACTTTCTTTTTGAGACTCATAAAAGCAGGCAGGACACAGACCTTTAATGATTAGAATTTCATTTGCAGCTGTGCCGATCTTGGGAGCGGTTGTGTTCTTCTACAGAATATTATGCTTTGGGTTTGAAACTATTGAAATCGTAAAATGATGAATTTCGAAAACAAAATAAACGTCGACCTTCAGACTTTTGGTTGTAATTGTTTGACAGTTCTATATTGGTAATTACTATAGATTAAGAAGTTGAAACCAAGTCGTGCCAGTCTCCCAACTAGTTATCAAATTGCAAATGGACTGTTTCAAAATAATCATGAAAAGTAAACCGAGAGCTTGTTATTAATACATACATATTTCAAAATGTCAAAGTGGTCTTTTTATTGTTTATAACTTTGATCATGGCTACGGTCAGTGTTATCATATTGGTAATGATGTGCTTTTCACGTGGAATGATTTTCGGCCATCGATGGCATCCTTATAAGAGAAGAACTCAGATGATAAGGAATACTTCTACTGTTCATGCTTCTATTGACGGGACAAGCCGAAGCGTAATTGATTTTTGTTTATTGCTAACTCTCACCTCAACACTCTCCCCCCGCAGACAGTTTAGTTATGAAACCTTGTGGTATGAGCACAATTTTTTAAAAATCGATAAGTTCACACTGCTTATAGAAAGTTCTTTTGTTGACAGACTTACGGAAATATCTTTCTTGTATGAGTGGTATAATTATATATAGGATGATCGCGAAAATCTTCACTCTATTTCAACGCCGTATTGAAAATTTTTTGAAGATAAGACCACTCTCTTCCAGAAACGAAATAGAACTCGTAAAAAAGCCTTTTGCAATAGCCAAAGTAGATTCTTATCATCCACTGTATCGTAACCCTGCTAAGTTTTATCTTCTAAAATTTTGAACTATAAAAGGATGTTAAATTTATTTCATAATCATTTATTTGTCCTTACGAAATTGTTGCTAAACGACTTCTTTTTCTCGGCGCATTTGACTCGTTCAGTGTCCTCTTTTCAAATGCATTTTTCTAAATAGAAAAAAATCATCCGAGCTGCTTCTCATTTTTCCTCTTTCAACTCTTCCTTCCCGATATTCATCAACATCTGTGTCGCTGCCAACACTGCTTCAGTATATATCACCGAGCATATAAAAAAATGTTTGGTTTTGTTATAAATTAGATAGTTCATTACAGTTTGGGAATAAGCATAACTTCGTCTTTTTTGATATTAACACACTGAATCTATCTGCTTTTAAGCTACTTGGGTCTTACAATTTAACTTGCCCTATGCTTTTGTATCAGCTGAGAAAGAAAATTTTTTCATCCATCATCTGATTAGAATTCTTAGAAAAGTGGAAACTATCAATGTTGTTCTAACTTTTAAGAAAATCTAGTCAGCTTCAACATAATCTCAGTTGACTCAATGCTTTGTCTAATTGGAGAGCTGTCGATGATTAAAACGTGCTTCAGAAACATACTATTATTTGACATGCTGTCTAATCTGTTCGTTTGAAGTTCATTAGAATTTTCAAGCTTTAAGAAACAACAAATGAAGAGCAAGAAACAACTTGTGAATTTGAAACAAGAAAAGCGAACAACAAGCATTGGAACACATTTATCTCATCCTGCAGCTCTCTTCCTATTGCTCTAATCCTCCTCCCATTTTTCTATATGCTACATTCTGAGAGAGCGTTTCTTTGTTTTTTTGGGGGAAGCCGTTTTGGTTACAAACATATTTGTCCCTGAGGGGTGTTTGACAAGCTCTAGTTGGAGGAAAAAAAGAAAAGAAAAGAAAAATAAAGTGAATGCCTGTGCGGAATCAGAGAGCGTGTGGAAACGGGATAAACAGTTTCAGAGATACACAGCTTTCGAGTGAGAAGCAGAGACAAGAAGATTAGAGGTAACTCAACATATTTCATGTTGTTAACAAAATTTGAGCAAGGGCGGAACGGCGGAACATGACGATGTGATGTCCAAGCATTCGAGAGCTCTGAAGAATCGATCACTTGTCTGTCTGCCCATTATAGTCCTTTTTCTTACTTCTTTCTATCTTTCTGATATCTCCATGTTCCATTTTTCCTACTTCCTCTAATAACCTAAGGCTCTTTCGTTCGTTCCCTATCTGAGCCCTCTGACACTCTTGAGCACGACTAGTTCTCGATTTGAAAGAGCTTTGCGATCTAGTACTGCTCAAAAATCACTTATTACGTCAGGCTGAATTCCCTGTGATTCAGATTTCTGTGATCTCAAAAAGGTCCAAATGATTATTGTTTTCTTCGACACAAACTAATAGTAGACAAACTTCACGAAAACGTTTTAAAAGCAAGCGGCATAATTTTTTCAACCATTATCTCTCGTCTCAGCTGTCTAGAGAGACTCAGTTCTCGCCCTCTCATAAATATTGTTCTTTCTGCTATTCTCAAAGTTTTCTCATGACTATTTTTTAGACCTTTGCCTGTCTCCACGCACAAACCCTTTTTTTCTTCTTCCAGACTTGAGGAGCTGTGACAGGGTAAACAACAGCCCTACGCAGCGTACCTTAGTAAGTTGTTGTATCTGCGTGATAATCAAACCAATCCTCTTTTTAAGGTCAATAACCGACAAAATCCAGTTGCTGAAACAAACAGAAACTTCTTACAACTGTCCCACGTGGTTATCTTCCTCGTGTGGTTTGTTACTGTGGGCAGAAGACATTCCCCCTAAAGTAGATCGAGGCGATTACAAGGCTCGATTTCGCTGACTAGAAGAGGTTCGTATTGAAGCACTATGAATACTAGTACAAATCGGGTCATTCTGGCCGAGTGGTCTAAGGCGCTGCGTTCAGGTCGCAGTCCTCTCCGGAGGGCGCAGGTTCGAATCCTGCGGATGACAGTACATTTTGATGATGCATGAAAATAATGTAAAAATTGCAGGATTGTATGGGTCCAGATATTAAGACCCAAATCCTCGTCCTTCACGTTCGTCCTCCTTAGCGGGTCACAGTTTCTAAAACACAATCAGTTAAAAACAGTTTGATTGAAACAAACTTAAAAACATTTTCTGAAGAATCCAGGAAGAAGTTTGTTTTGGCTTATATATAGAAAATACAGTATAATTATCAGATGTCCGTTCAATTATCCACTCACGGTGAAACTAATATGGGGAGTTCAGTAGCTGAGTACTTTTTCGAAGGTGCCGAAAAGTTGCTAGAGCTATGGTTCGAGAGCAGCCAGCATGAAGAGAAATGTTCGCTTCGAAATATTCCACGAAGTGAATTAGACGCTATGCTCGACATCGCTCGTTGCAAAATCTTGCAATCATCCCATCAGAAAGAGCTGGACAGCTACGTTCTGAGGTACTGAAAAGTCATCCTGAAATACAAAAATTAAAAAAACCTACGGTTTTAGCGAGAGCAGCTTATTCATTTCTGACCACCGCATTATTATGAAAACATGCGGATCAACTAGATTGCTTCAAGCACTACCAGTGATTCTAAATCTAGCAAAGCAATACTCAAACCTGGACAATGTAAGCTTACCTAGGTCAAAGCTTCGAAAATCTTCTTTTATAGGTTGTGAGCGTCTATTATTCACGCAAAAATTTCCTCCGACCAGATCTTCAACCAGAATTGCATTTCAACTTCGATTCTGAAGTTCAATACCTGGACTCCTTTTTTGAAGGTGATTTTTGAAATCAAAACTGATGCATATCCTCACTAGCTATTCAAAATCAATCGATGATCATAAAATAAATATTTCAGGTGGTCATGCATATTGCATGGGTTCATTGAAACAAGATCGTTGGTATCTTTATACAATGCACAGACAACAACAGCATGCACCACAAAAAACAGCAGTAAGTATTTCCATGAATAAATGAAAAAAATCTATCTACACCGATGATTCCCATTCAAAACAATACACCGTAATATGAATTAACGATGGACGTAGCAATGTACGTGATCACAGACACGATACATTAATACACCATTAAAAAATTAATTTTTCATTTCAAAAAAGCTCAATGATCTATTGCATCAGACTTTACTTCTCAGTTGAATGATAACGAGCTCATTATAGGATAACACTCTGGAGATTCTTATGACTGATTTGGACGAAAATGTAATGAAAACATTCACAAGAGAGACTTGTGATGATGCTAAGGAATGCACTGAACGATCCGGCATAGATCGTTTGATGCCATCTGATTTCGAAATTCAGGACGAATTGTTCGATCCTTGTGGTTACAGCATGAATGCCTACAAGGAAACAACAGTATGTCTAAAAATTGGTCTAAGATATGACATCTTTTTTCCGTTACAGGACCAATATGCCACAATTCACGTAACACCAGAGAAGGCGTTCTCGTTTGCTTCATTTGAAACAAATCAAGATAGCTGGTGTTTATACAAACAAACAAAGAAAGTTATTAATACTTTCAGGTTAATAATGAAAAAAGAGGGAATTATTATTCAAAAAACATTTCAGACCCGGAAAGTTGTTGATGACTGTATTTGCAAATGACATGTCAGTGAAAGGCAAAGATGCTCAACAACAGTTATGGGATCGCGAGCTACCAGGCTATCGTCGAACAAATTTACAGTTTGTTCGTTTGGAGGTATGAGTCAAATTCTAATGATAATACTAGCTTTCATTTGACAAATACTAAAAACGAAATGTCAAACACATACTGAATATATATTAAAGTTGACACTTGAATAGTTCAGCAAACATTAAAAATCAGTTGAGATCTTTTGACAGAGTTTCTTTTTCTCAATAAACATATGACGAATATTTCACTTTCCAGACTGAGACTCTCGTCTATGCTAACTTTGTGCGCAAGAATTGTGATTCTTCAAGCGATGAAGATGATGGAGCTCGTAGCGATTGATAGCCTTCCACACTTTGCCATTATACACACATACACACCTATACCACAGACTAACCGACTAGATGGTTGGACTAGCTGACGGACGGGCTTTGCTTGCCTGCCTGCCTGGCTGGCTGTCTAACTGACTAGCTGTTGCTAGCTAATGCTGTGGTTGCTGTCGACGAATGGCTCTTCATTCTATTGCTGTTAGCTTAAGTCTTTGCCGTCTACTAGTTGACTCACTTCTTATTTTTTCTTTTCTGTTTCTGCTCTATTCACCTTTATCTTTTTCACCACATGTCCAAACATTCAAATTGTTTGTGAAGATGTCTTAATTTTTTTGTAAGAAACACAATTCATTTTCTGAAATCTGTTTAAACGTTGTCTTAAGCCGTATCCTATCTTTATCTTGGAATGTCGATATATTTCTCTTATCAGACCGTGTTTGCACTTGAGATGACTAACCGAAAGACTGACGGCTAAGACCATCACTAAGAAATTTGACATTCTTTTTTCTTGCTTTTCTCTTTTCATTCTGTGTGTTAATCACGCTCCGATATTTCTTTTAAAACGACGGTTTACTCATATATGTTGTATTAGAAAGTTCTATGTTAGTTAGTTGGGGATAATAAAGTTAGTAGAAATTATGATTTGCCTCATTTTGCAACTGCCGGCTTCATCAGCCAAGCTTATCATCATAGGGCAAGACAAACATGTTACTCAATCAGCTTCTCTCCTCCTCTCTCTGTTTCTCTCCTTGGTCTCTTTACATACTCCGCAATCAACCATTTTCCATGGTTATTTAACTAGTTTTCTCGAAAATCCATCATCACACAAACCTTTATGCTTTTCTTTATGAAAATAATGCGAAATGCAAACATACATGCCACTTCTTCCTCTAATATCGATTAGTTTTTATTAAATTATGAGGAAATTTGTTTTCATTTCAATCATGATTTCCGATTCGTTCGCAATTTCTCACTAATATTCCCATTTGATAATCAACATACATTCAAATTTTGCCAGTTTATGTCTTTCTCTCTCGTTTTAACCCAAAAAGACGATTGACACGTGTCAAGATTCTGCAAAAAAAATGTACTTTAACCGTCTTTAACTTTACCGCTTTCAGGTGGCTTTCTTCTTATTTTTCTATCAACATTGTATTTTAATCTCTCCATCTATTCTCCTAGTTTGTTTCCGACGGAAAGCTGGAGCACGAGGAGACGGATGCCCTCAGCACGCCTGAGGGTTTGCATCTCATCCAGGATGAGCTTGAAACGGTCGAAGATGATCTCCTAACCGAAGAGGTTGCATCATCACTCGATGGATGTACAATATCCACGGCTTCCGACATAAATCCATTACCTCCACCCATCGTAAGTTCTCCATTCAACTTTTCCCTCACCGTTATTTTCTGCGCAGAAACTTTCCATACTGCGAATCGATTGATTATCTGATCGCAACATTGATAACCGTCCTTTTAGACCCTGAAAAATAGCACAAATTATCATAAAATTTCAGAATATCTATTGGGCCACCATCAACATAGTCCTGCTCGTACTTGTATTTATCATATCCACTCTGCTCATCGCATTAGTTTGGCATCTAGCCCCACGTCTGCCTGATGGAGAATCTATAAAAATTCCAACAAGTTTAGCTCAATTACGACATTTGGCTGATGTTTTCCATAAATATAAGTACGTTCCTAAATGCTTCCTCAGTATACTCAAGACTTACCAAATATAGAGATGACCACTTTGCCTATAGTCTACTTATATTCTGTTCTGCTTATATATGGAAACAGACGTATGCGATTCCAGGTTCAATATTATTAGTTGCTGAAACATGAATGACAATTGTAAATTCTCATCTTTCTAGAATTTGGTAGCAGGAGCTTTATTTGGAATGTGGATAGGCACAGGGCTCATAAGTATTTTGACGGCCATTGGCTCGTCTTGTTGTTATCTACTTTCGTCACTTTTCGCTCGTCCGCTTGTATATAAACTTTTGTGGAGACAGACGATGATGATTAAGGGAAAAGTAATAAAACGAGCAGAAACATACTTTTATTGAAATGTCATTCTTCAGATTGTCGCCAATCGCCGTCATGTTATTCTCTTCCTCCTGTCAGCTCGAATTTTTCCATTTACGCCTCATTGGTTGCTGAACATATCTTTTCCATTCGTTGGAATACCGATTTACCTTCACTTCTTTACTATGATTCTAGGTATTGTTTCATTTTGAATACTTTCAAATTGTGATCATTTGAAGGAATGTTACCATATCACTTCATCTGTGTCCGGGCTGGTCGTATACTCTCTGAAATCAAAAGTGTCTCAGATATTTTTAACGCAGCTACTCTAGCACAACTTATCACAATCGCGGTTATCTTTGTTGCTGTCGGAATCATATCAAAACGATTAAAAAGAGAACCACGTCTTCCACATTTAGTTACTGATTGATTGCCTTAAATGTGTTTTTCTTTTGAAAAAATACAGGAAGTCTTGTTGTGATCTCGTTCGAATTAGTGCGGGCAAAACCTTTGTTTTTGATGTTTATTTATATAGAGATAAAATTATTCGTTAACACACAAAAAACATGAAACCCGTTGAAGTTATTAGGGAACCCGAACAATTTTTGGAAGTTAATGCGAAAGCTGAGGCAAATGAGAGGTTGAAGAAGATTTTTTCGCATAACGAGCAACAAGGATTAAAACAACAGCTATTAGTAGGAGTTCTATTATAGTGGATGTATCAAAAACATCTGAAATCGACTGGATTTCAGAAATGACACGCCCAGCACGGACACAGAGCACATTATATGGCAGTAAACCTTAAGCAGTTTTAATTGGTTAGTCATACCATTGCCTCACCTAATCCGACTGTTGAAAAATGAATACGCAATGGAATGCCCAAAAATGGTGAGCATATGTTGAGAAGCCAGTGTGGTGTGAAAGGAAACACTCTGGCTGATAGAAGAAAGAAGAAGATCCGATCTCTTTCAGTGGCCATCTCAATAGGAATGTGGTTAGTATACGAATGTGAGATGGTAATTACCTGAAGTTTAATTGTACTCAATTTACCACTAAAATACTTGGTGATTATTGGTCGAGCGAAAAGCGCAGAAAGCAAAAAACAAAAAGACGATCCTATAGCTGTTAGAAGAGAACTCAAAACACTCCCAGCCCAAACACCGAACAGTGCTCCTGCTAATAAATTCTGAATCCAAAAATGAGTTGAGGGCATTATGCAGGATAAACCATAAGGAAAGAACCAGGTATAGCGAATGTTTGTTTGAAGAGAAAAGCTAGAGAGAACAAAAGAACTGTGTAATAGTAATGAGCATCCCTAAACGAGAAAACTTACAAAAAAAAAGAAATGTAAATTTGCCTATAAGTGGTCATTGTTTTGGCCAATAACCGCAAACTCTGAAGATCGTGTGGAAATGAGGGTTTTTCAACTCCTTCTAAAACTGGAGCGAACATCCAAACTGTATAAAGTAAGAAACTAAACAGTAGAACCACAACTATAAATCCTACGGGCCGGATCATCTGAAGTTTGGAGATATATAAAGACCTTGTGTGATGTAAAAAAAATAGAAAATGATGAGAAACATTCCGAAAACTGATAATATACGAAGTGAATAAGTTTATTAAAATCTTATAGAAGTTAGTTTAGTAATTATATGTTGAATTATCGAATAATTAGTTCGAAGATCACCCGTTGATTATTGGAAATCAGATTTCGATAGTGTCACACTCAGTTTCTCTTTCATAAAAACATATTGTCGATATTCTAAATTAACGGCATCAAACATTCGTTTGGAAGCTAAAAATATGGGTTTGTTTCTATCCTCCAAATACACAACGTGTTTTATCCCAGACTAGAACAATTGGCAAATATCACAAATTTGGTTATCAATCACGTACCTGAATGATTAGCTTTGCACATTCATTACATGGAAATAAAGTTGTGTAGATTGTCGCCCCCTAAAACGGAACGAAACATTAAGTATAATGATAGCGAAACCTTCAAATCTCCTTTTATTTTGTTCAATATTGCATTCGCTTCAGCATGAACAACGTATGCGTACTTATTGTCTAAGGGATTTTCATTCCCTTTCCCCCAGGGAAAGTCATCGTCGCTGCAGCCAACAGGGAAACCTAATAGGAATTCTCGTCATTAAATATACTTCGAAAAATCACCATTATATCCAGTTCCAACAATATGCTTATTTTCATCTACAATCACACAACCAACCTGGCAGTTTGGATCTTTACTTCTCAATGAGGTTACTTTTGCTGTCAACATGAAGTATTCTTCCCATTCTATGTATTCTTTCCTCTTCTTCGCTTAAACTAAGAAAGTATGAAGAATGAGCTCACTATTACCTTTTCTCTCATCAGCTTGTGTGTTTTTATTAATCGCCAACTCATCGATACAGCTTTCTATGGATGGTAATAGATTAGACATAGCTGAAAGTTATTTAGTTTAAGGCCTGCACTGACAAACTGTGCACTGACAAAGAACTAAAAAATCTTCCCACGATCAAACAATTAACAAGTCCTTAAAAGATGACCGGGGACGAAAAAAATAAATGAGAGACCAGTCACTAACACTGAACGAACGAATGAATCCATGTGTCCAGCAGAGTGGGTGTACATTCTCTTTGGAGCAATGGAACGAATATAGCACAACAGAGCCGTATGAACGTGGTAAAGAATTAACAAGTCATAATAATATTAGATTTATGGTAAAGTAATGTACAAAGTTAACTTTAAAATTTTCAAACCGTCCAATTCACTAGTGATAACGAGTTAGATCAAATTAAGCAAAGAGAGCAAGACTACAAGAACAATTAAGACTCATTATATGATATAAAACCAATAGTCACCAGGTATAAGTAAGATCGCAGAGAGCCGCAACCCACAAAATTTACAAAAATAAGAAAAGGTAAAAAACTGAAATGTACAAGAGAAATTATCGACCCATTGCAGCAGATCAAAGGTCACAGGATATTGAAACAATAGAATAAAGTAATAAATTAAAAACGGGGTTGCGGGAGATCAATACACCATCATAAAGAGAAATAAAATTAACACCCAAAACAAGATAGTGAAACCTTTGAGAGAAGGAAACCTAAAATTGAGAAATGATGTCTATTGAGAGGTAGGAGGTTGTTTTGCTTTTTTCGAACTCGTTGGTGTCGCAGCCGCTAATGAAGCCAGCGATGCCGCAGCCATCGCATTGGGGTCCATCATTAACTGCATAGCTAGGGGATTGGACATCAAAGACGCAAGTAACATTGGGTTGAGAGCATCTTCGGCCTGAAAGAGTTGCTAAATTTCGAAGAAGCACTGAAGTTTACCTTGTTCCCTGAGCTGGTTGGCATTCCACCATAAGCTCCAAATCCACCTAATAATGATTGTTGCAATATTGCTTGCTGCATCATTAGCTGCATTTGCATTTCCTGCTGTAGTTGCACCAACTGTTTAGATTCAGCCGAGGAAGCTGAACAATATTCCTTGAAACAGAAGAAAAGAGAAACACTCACATGCGGTGGAAGTAGAGGCAGCTGTAGAAACAGTTTTTTCTTTTGGTTTGGATGTTGTGGGAGTTTGTGGAGTCACGTTTTGTTCACCACCCATTCGGTCAGCATTAGCAGCCCCAGCAAAAGCCTAAAAAGCTTGAAATTTTAAAGGAGTGCTGAAAATAAAGAACCTGCACAATTGGGTTAACGCAACTCGAATGAACATTAGCAGACGGATGACTATCTAGCCATTTACCCAGCTGACTGAGCTGAGGCCAGTCATTGACGGGCAGCAAGTTACCAGTAGACTTGTTATATACAGCTACAGGACCATCTACACCTGTTACGCCTGTTGTCATACCGGCCAAGGTAGCAGCAGTTGCAGCACTGGATTGCTTAGCACTGGAAGACGAAGGAGTTGAAGCACTAATGGAGGTTGAATTGGATTTGCTTGAATCACTCTTCTTAGCTTCGACAGTTTCACTAAAAAAGATTTGAAATGATTGAATATTCTTAGGCAACATACGTTTTAGATGTAGATGCGATACCAACGGCAGGCGTGGGGGTAGAAGGCTTGCTGCTACTCGCACTAGCACTATTACTAGCACTGGCACTAGCGCTTCCGCTTGCAGCAGCAGCAGCAATCGCAGCAGCTGCCGCTGCTGCCGCGGTAGATGAAACGTTTGACTGCTTTGGCGTGGCGTTCGTAGAAGACTTCGACGACGGCTTCACGTCAGATGATCGGTCTATAACTTACAATGCTTAAAATAACAGAACGGAAAATCGTACTTTTGCTACTTTCAGATATATTAAGGTCTATCTTGAAGTCCTTATTTTTCAGCAGCCAATCACTGATATTCTTCAATCTAGGCGCATTATCGCCAGTGATGTATTCCTTAGTTTTGGTGTTCCTAACAGGAATTCTTGTATCTAGAAAAACCTGTTTACAGAATTGACATCACAGACATACCCGGTGGCATACTAGCTATAATCATCAACTCAGCGACTGATATTCCTAGTCTAGCCGCTGTAGCTTCAGCTTCGGATGTTGATACTGCAGCAGCCATTGAAGCGGCCATCTGGCTAGTAAGGTCCGCAGAAGGTAGATTCGATGTTTTCGACGTAGTTGGCGTGGATGTTGAAGTAGAGGTCTATAACAAGAACTCCATTGATTAAACGATAGAAACTCTAACCTTCTTATTTCCGGATCCCATAGCTTCATCTATATTTGTGGCCGAAGCGAAGGCCATCAAAGTTGCAAGTGCAGCTTGTTGGGCTTGAGCATTTCCCCCACCAGGGGCGGATAAGGATGAAAACAACTGGGAGACCAATTGAGTGGCGTTGTTATTAGCACCCGACCCTAATAACGATGGCAACATCATGGACTGAAGCATTGCTGCAGCAATAGTTTGATCATTCATGGAAGAAATCATTGACTGTTGGATCATAGCCCGCATTTTCGAATCATCAGCCACTCTTTTTCTTCCCCGGTTGCGACTCTGAATTGAACACATCATTACGTTTCGAGCACTTACACTTACGGAGGATGCTGACGGTTTCGATGATTCTCCGTCACTCTCTTCTAGAGATTCAGTCTTGCCCAAACCATTCCATTTGCCGCTTTCAATAGTGGCGCATATTTCAACTAGCCGTCTGAGCAAAACCTGTTCGGTAGGTTTATCGACAGAAGCGTAGGATGGCAGAGTCGTAACTTGATTAGCGATGTTTTCGATTCCATGCTCATCGCAGGATATGAGTAAATCTTTGTCATTATCTACTGACCATCCAGATGGCATTGCTTCAGTAGCACACAATTTCAGAGTTGTTAGATGTTTCTCAACTCCGTTCGCTACAATGGCATGAATCTAAATCACTCGTTTACTGGTGTCTAGTGGTAACAAAACTAACCTTCCTAGTCAAATGCAGACGAGTCATCAATGTTTGAGCTTTCTTGGAAGACAACATCTCAATAGACATAGCTCTTTTCATGTCCAGTCCATTGACCTGACCACCTTGTGCTTTAGTGCACATTGCAAGCACACAATAAAGATACTCTTGTAACTCTTCGTCAGACTTTGCTCCGAGAATGGGAGCAAACGCTCTGAACGATTCCCAATCAATAGTATTGATATCACTTCTATTGTCTTTCATGCCAAAAGTTCTCAAAACTCTCAAGAACTCTTGCTCTTCCCTTCGAGTCCATCTGAAAAAAAAAATCAGGAGCCGCAGATTATGAATTTGCTTACTTCGGTTTTTCATACACAGGATCTAACAGGTTACGTTGGCTAACAGACATCAAACGTCTGAAACGAGCGGCAATTTCGGCAGCATTAGGAAAAGTTGCAAATTGTTTCTCGGAGAAGACAAGGGCAGCGTCATTTTTGATGGCATCCACGGCATCCAATCCTGGAAAAGAAAGATAGTTTTTTTCCTCCATCTTTCAAACGCACCGTGTTTGTATATTCCTATCAGAAGAGACTTGTCACAAGACGCATCCCAACCTTCGCAGAGCGGGTCAGGGATAGTTGGGCTTGTCAATTCAATATCTTCTGCTGACTTATCCGCCATGACGTCAACGGATCTAACGCCGATTACTTCCTGAGAATTAAAGATAATTGCGAGAAAAAAAGCACAAATTTTACTTTCTGTAAATGATTCAGTTGATCAACTTTGGTAAGTAATTTATTAGCGTGACGATGAATATGACGTTGGAAAGTCGCATCCAATGCAAAATTTGGAGGATTATATTCGGGTAATACAGCCCAGCCCTACAATGACATTAATTTTCGTTCAAGCGCATTTTTTTACTACCTCGTTATAAGCATTTTTCAAGTCCTTAGTATGCTTGGCTCCTGAAGGAACAATGAGATTCCAGACGGATTTCCTCACTCTCTCATCGCCACGATACTCGCGAACACAATGCAGTAGAAGAGTTCTCGACATATGCATTATATCCATCTCGGTAACTTCGAGCTCTCCAGATTTCTTCATCTCTGCCCAACGACCCCATCCCCAAGAAGCGAGAACTTTCTCAACCTGTAGATTTAGAGAGGTAAGCGTTAGGAAAGAAGAGAACTGTACCTTGAAATATTCACTTTTGTTAAAAGCAAGTTCGTCAGGACGATAATTGACATAATCATCGTCTTCATCGCCACCACGCCTTCTTTTTCTAGTTGTGCCTTCTTTACTAGCCAGAGCTCTTTTTCTTCCTTTTCCACCTTCATCACTGCCATCAGACTCGTCGCCGGCTTTGAAAGTGTTATCTTCAAATCTCTTGGTTCTTTTACGAGGTTCTTGGATTATCAAATCGACAGCTTCGTTACTTGCAGCAGCCTTATCAATATCAATCTGAATTCCATACATTATAAAGAGATAAGTTATTGTCAACTGAAGAACCTGTGCTTTCTCAGCCCATTTAGTCCAAAAATTAGGATCATCGATATCAATGTCATCTCCTTTGTTATGAGTGGAGTTGAAGGTTGCCTTCGAGAACAACGAGCCCTTCTGACCAGGCTCTAAAGTGATTGTTGTCGCTCTTCTCTGGAGAATGGTCTCGATATCCTCTTCATTGAACTTGCTCCCTTCGTTAGCTTCGTCCATCAAGTTACCATAAGCGCCCTACAAAAACATTAATAGAGCAAGTGAATGAAATTAACGGATAACCTTCTTCAGAAGCTCTTCTACGTCCTTCTTACTCAAAGCACCACAACCGTTATTTTCTTTCAACGAGGCAGTAGATTGAAGAACGGCTTTATCCAGTCCTAGTTTCAAAGATGCCTAAAACGAAACAAAATAAACTGAGAGAATGAAATAAGAACATACTCTATCGAACATTTCCCTCTCGTAAGTGTTCGCAGTTATCAAGCGATATACCTTCACTGTTTTTGTTTGACCGATTCTATGACATCTAACAGAAATCATAGTTTACAATGTATATTCGCAATCGAACAAACCTGGCTTGAGCTTGCAAGTCATTTTGTGGATTCCAATCGGAATCGAAGATGATAACAGTGTCGGCTGCAGTTAAATTGATACCTAATCCGCCAGCGCGAGTACACAGCAGGAAAACGAAACGATCCGAGTCTATAAGCACCACGATGAGAAAAAAAAGTAAGATATCTTACTCACCTTTCTTACTGAACCTATCAATAGAAGCCTGTCTCATATCCCCTCTTATGTTACCATCGATTCTTTCATATGGATAACTCATATTTATCAGAAACTCTTCCAATAAGTCAAGCACCTTGACCATTTGAGAAAAAATGAGAACTTTATGCCCATCTTTCTTCAGTTTTGGAAGTAACTTTTCGATCAACACGAGTTTTCCCGATGTCTGAACTAGAGACTTTTGAGTTTGAGTTTCTTCATCCCACTCAGGATGTAATAGCTTCATTTCAGACATTATATTTTCTTCAGCACCCTTAATTTACACAATAGATACACATAACTCAGTTCTTAGCTACCTGGATAAGAAAAGGATGATTGCAAACTTTTCTCAGCTCCATCATCACGTTCATCAAAGATGGAGCGGAGGTTCCTTTGCACAAGTGGGAAAAATTTCTCTCCAAAATAGCTCGATAGTACTTCTTTTGAATATCCGATAATTGAACCTATAATATCGGAAATAGCGGTATATCCATAAGGCTACAAAAAACCTCTATTATTGTTTCCTGTTTCGGTCCTAAACTTTTCTCAACGTCTTCTTTGAGGCGTCTCAGCATCATGGGCTTTAACATTTCCTGCAGTTTCTGGACTTGTTCCTCCGATTGGCAAGTACCAAATTCATGTAAGAACTTTTCAGGGCTTGAAAACTTTTCAGGCTGAAGGAAGTTCAGCAATGAGAATAACTCTTCAATGCTATTTTGTAAAGGAGTTCCTGTTAACAGAACGCGGTGCTCCATTTTGAAGTTTTGCAACCCTAAATGTTATTTTTCTGATAAATAAATGTTTGAAGAATAACTAACCGTCTGTTAATAGTTTACAGTTACGATTTTTCAGACGATGTGCTTCATCGATCACACAAACTCTCCAATTGATTTTTTTCAGAAAATTCACATCAGAAACAATAGTTTCGAATGTGGTTACTAAAGCATCAATCTTCACGAGATTCTTTTTCCACATCTAAGACAGAAATCAGCAAAGAAATGTTATCTTAACCTACTTTGCTGTTTCCACAATTATCCTTGTTGAAGAAAATCTCATATTCTTGCATAAGCTCCCGGCTCTGAGCGTTTCCATGATAAACTATAGCATTCATATCCGTCCAGGCTTCAAATTCTCGAATCCAGTTTTGTATAGTTGATAAGGGTACGACGACCAGAAAAGGTCCATGAATCCCATACCTAAGAACAACATTCAAATTCGGAAGAGAAGTATTTTAACTCACTCATAAACTTGGCTTAGGAAAGTTATAGTTTGGACAGTTTTACCCAAACCCATTTCATCAGCAAGAATGCAATTTGTTCTAAAAATGAGAGAAAAATGACAGAGAACGTCAATCACACTCTTACTCGGTATAATAGCAATACAGAAGCCAATCAACACCCTCAAACTGATATTCTCTCAAAGCATTCCCGTTTTTCCAGACATAGTCAGTGGGGAGCTTCCGCCATTCATCTGGAGACGGCCTTGTTTTTTCCTTCTGAACTTCGTTTTGAGAAAAAATTTGAAGTGGTTCTCTTACAGCTTTGAACTTGTCGATTTTCTGCCTGGATCTCCATTGTTGAATTTTGTCGGAATATTCTTTTTCAATTTCTTCTAAAGGTTCCCAGGTGACACCATCATACGTGATGCTTCGCCATTTTACAAGACAATATTCCAACCCATCTTCGCCTCGGCTGACATCAACAATCCTATCTACTATGGTAAAATCGGGATTGAAAAGTTCGTCATCCTAAAAAAAAATGTTCGAAGTCGATCAAAATTCGCTCACATCAGATTGTATGGGGAATTGCTTTTGCTTGAACTTTTTCAGACGTTGAGCCATTCTCTTATCCATCTCTTCTAACTCCTAGAAACAAATTTTAAAAGAAAAATTGAAAAAATTAAGCACCTTCACAGTCTTCCATTCACAATGAATGTATGCTTTTGCTTTCCATTTGACGTAGAACATTTCCGGATTGTCATCTTTTGCTTCCTTCCATTGCAAGAACTGTAATGAGAATTAATATTAATAGGATTAATACTTGGATTTGACAAATACCTTCTCGACAGCAGGCTGATCATTTTTAGCTTCATCGATATCCACAGCTTCGGGAGGTAAGAGAGAATCCTCATCAATCTCCTCTTCGGAGGAAACCATATCTTCCTCTTTCTTCTTACCGCGTTTCTTGTTCGATTTTGACTTATAATCGTAATCTTCGTCACCATAGTCTTTTCTTTTCTTCTGCTGAACTTTCAAAATAAAGAGAATGTTTTTTCATATATTACTTGCCTTTGGAACCGTGATTCTTTTGGGGGGTTTTTTAAGTGTAGTTGTAGGCGCTGATTCAACAGATTCCACAGTTTCACATGACGCAGGTTCCTGCAAATGAATAACGAATTTGAATCATACCAAAAAACTTTAAAAACCTTGTCCTCTTTCAAAGAGCTGGAAGCGCTAGGATTTGTCTCTTCCGAAGGATCTTCTGAGGTTTCCTTTGACTGAGAATCTTGAGAAACTGCTTCATCTTCCGTTTCACCTTTCGTATTGGCTTCCTCATTTTCTTCCTTCTCTTCAATTATACTCCCATCTTTTTGAGTCACTTCCGGATCTTCTTTCACTGCTTCATTCTTCTGTTCATCTGATGATATATACTCGCTGTCATCATCTGCTGATTCGGTCTTTATTTTTGTTTCCTCTAACCCATCTTCTTCTATCGGATCACACTCTACTTGCTCCAAAACAGCGTCCGCTTCTTCTTTGACATCTGTAGCAGCAACATGGGTAGCTCCTGCTTTTTCGAGCTCGGGAGATTCTGGTGTACTATTTCGAACATCATCAGCGTTGATCATTTCATCGTGGTTATTATCTTTACTACAGGATGGCGTAGGAGAACAGACATAAGCGTTATCAGGTGAACACTGCTTGTCTTCCGATAAACTGGATCGAGCATCACTGAATTTATCCAATTCTTCGGTTTGTTCCTTCTCGTCGATTGGCTCATCAGCATTAGCCGAGTCGTTCAGTTCATTTTCAGACGAGTCTATAGACGCGGAGATTTGCATGCTCGAGTTAGGTGCTGAATCCAGTCCTTCGTCTCTTTTATCGTCATCTTCCAATTGTAAGGATTTTTGACTCAAAACATCGTCTATGTGCTCGATAACAGGTGAGATAACGTTATCTTCTTTTGAATTATTATAAACACTAGAAGGTCCTGATTCATGGGTAGCATCAGGTTCATCCGGAGGGGATGATGCTGTGGACGGTTGTGCTAATGGAGAGGAACAAGATACCTCGGTGGAATTAGTTTGACCAATAAACATAGAATCATTCTTCAGACCCATTTGGCTGAAAATACATAGTTAATAGGGTTTTTTTTACAGAACGTAACCTAAGATCATTGCTAAAAGGTTTTTCTGTATCAACAGCTCCACTGTCGTAATGTTTGTAACTATTATCAGTATTAGTCTTATTAAGTTTATTATCCATAATCTGACCAGCCTGGAATGGACGGAGAACTAAGAAAAATATAGAAAAAAAACTAACAGATTGAGATGTTTGAGAAGTGTAAACTCCATACCCAGAATGTGAATGATTTTCATTGTGCCTAAGACCCTGAAAATTAGATATTATAATGAAGACACTTGAGTAGCAATATTACATTAGTGGATGGGTAGTTGTTCTCTGTGACCTGATGAGAACTCTGTGAAGGGTGCGGTTTGTTCTGTTGTGAAGATGAATACGAAGTTATAGACTCCTGAGAATATACCCTATCACAGAGAAAAAGACTTGAATCTTACTTGGTTTGCGTATGGATTTCTTGGGATAGGCTCTTGGGGAACAGAATCTTTCTGATCATCAGGAGACTGCCTCTTGTCATCATATTGGTGATAAACGCTTATTAGAGTTCTTCCAGATGTTTCAGGCTTGATATTAACCTGGAGAACCGAGTTAGAACAGTCGAATTTTTTTAAGTATACCTGAACTTGCGGTCCAGTCTGAGTAACTTGAACAGGGTTGGAATGATGTTGAACATTAACCATAGAAGCATGAGCTCCAGGAGGTGTTATACTATTAGGCGGCATCTGTCAAGAGAAAATGACTTCGTCGAGTTTAAAACCATTTCAAGGTACCTGATGAGGTGGAACCTGAGTTTGATTTTGCATTTGTTGGGGCATCAAATTTGACATGTTCGCTTGCTGTGATGAAGGAACTTGAGAAGATTGAGTGTTCTGCACGGAAGGTGGCTGTGATTGCGAAGACTGTTGCGAAGTTTGATGAGAAGCCATGTTGGATTGGTTTAACAACATTTCAATTCGTCTATATTCACTTTGAATGTATTGCATCCGTTGTTGTGTCTGTAGTAAAAAAAAATACAAACAGTAATTTTAACTGCGAACTCACTTGTATCACACTTTGTTCGATTTCAGGAGTTGGGGGCTGCTGATACATTTGATGTAGTCGACCCTGTAGAGAATTCAACTCCCCGTGTATTTCGTACAAATGCCTCTGTTGCTTAAAGAAATGTTCAAGTTAACAATCAAAAATTTTAGAAACCTGCTGAACCCATTGCTCATGGGGTGGAGCCACTTGTCCGCTGGACAAATTGTGAGTCCCAGCAGAATGCATGTGTTGGTTTGGATAGTACTGCTGCTGCGACTGTGTTGATTGGTTCTGTTGCTGACTTTGAGATTGAGGTCCGCCCTGTGTTTGAGAACTCTGAGGTTGCTGCGGCGCTTGAGGTTGTTGATTCGTTTGCTGTGAAGGAGGTTGTTGTGCTTGCGGTTGATGTTGCGGTTGTTGCGTAGGCCAGTACTGATCCTGATGAGGTGGCATCTAGAAGGAGAAGATCAGAGTTTAATTTGTATAGTACTTCAGCCGATACCTGTTGATTTGGAGGGTATTGTGGTCCTCTCATCATTGGGTATGGTTGCTGTCCTGATTGTTGAGGATAACCCTGCGGAGGTTGTCCATACGGATAACCTAAACAATAAAATATATGGTATGAAGGCAAAAAATAAAATACCTGGAGGACCGGCAGAGGGAGGGTATCCTCTCTGAGGAGGATATCCTATTTGTTGTGGCATAGGTGGATAGCCAGGTTGTTGATTAGGCGGATATTGCGGATTACGATAAGGATTAGGTGGAGGTGCAAAATGTACATTTTGATGAAGCGGAACCCCTTGGTTATACATGCCCCTTTGACCCTAGGATGGAATTACGTTAAAAAAACATACATAAAACAAGTTACCTGTGGATACTGTCCTCCCATCTGCTGCATAGAAGGTCTCATCATAGGGTTATTAGACATGGCAGCCATGCTTTGCATAGGATCCATTCCGGGATCTGCCTGTTGTTGCTGTTGTTGTTGCTACGAAGATTAATATAATAATTTGGTTTGATGTAGCAATATACCTTTTTCTTTTTCCCTTTTGGGGGTGGCTTCTGTGGTGGAGGAGCAGGTTGTGAGGGCGGAGGAGCCATCATCATCTGCTGTTCATAACTAGGATTCATTGATGTTAAGCCTCCGCTCATGTTCGGGTATGGCTGCTGCATTACATGCTGAGGTTGAGGAACTCCGCCTGCAGCCATACCACCTATAGGACCGTAGTCCATCATCTGGGACATCTGTGGAACATAATCGTCCCCGTCCATTCCACCAATTTTAGTGTCTTCTAATTTTTATACGACACTCACAAATATAGCATCTGAAAAAATAGGAATGAGTATTAGAAGGAGAGAGCTCATGATCAACCGGTTAGCACGCAGTATGATCTAAAATGACACGATATATAAACTAAAGAACCAAATGGACAAAAAAACTATATGACCATAGTTTTTTATGAAAACTTCGCACACCATTCGAGGAAAATGCTGATTTACATGTAATATTTGTGAGAGGAAGAATCAAAAGTAAAAAAGTCGTAACGAAGCAAAAGCGACAGAATTTGAAAGTTACGGTGGACTTTCTATTTTATGAATATCACAAACAAACAGGGGAAATCAACTGAATTTGGAAATCACGTACGTATGCAGTTTGGATCAACGGAGCTTTTTGTGAGCAAAAGTTCCGTTTGTGAAAACAATCAAGAACATAGTAGGCCTACACATAAAAAAAATATATCAAACAGTAAGAAAAGGGCAAATCATAATTTCGAAAAAATTTTGAATGTTACTGCAGCGTCCATGTCTAACTTAGTAGGAATATTTGTAAATAAGTAGCCGGTGTGTGTTGAAAAGTGCGAAATAGTCTACTCCGAATAGAGAGACCAGAGAGGTAGGGTACGGCGTGACACGCGCGCGTGTCCGCGACGCGTTCCGGACACTGGCCTCCGGTCAGCAGATGGTCACTTTGGCCATATCGACGTAGCAAGCATCAAAACAACATGCTTATATGGCTCGGTCTTTCCTGTGCATCTAATGACAATCCATATGTGGCCTGGCCCATTCATTCTTGCAGTTGGTGCACAAATATGGGAATGGCCAGAAATTTTGATGGCAGTAGGAAAAAATATGCTCCTCTGCTGTTGACTGGCCACTTTGCTAAGACAACATCGTGAACATACTCTCTTCCAGCACCAACAGCCGTAAAATAGCTCTTAGATGTTCTAAGAACATGCCCTGATGTGGAGGAACATGGCCATGGTGTGACCTAGTCATAGCCTAAGTAGATTTTCTCTCGAAAGATCCATGATTTTCCCATGGCTGGTCGAAAAACCAACTATTTTTTACATTCATTGTGACTTGTTCAACTTGCTCATATTTCTTCATATGGCATTTTCTTCTAATCGTTTGCAATCCATTCACATCTGATTTTATTTAATTTCTATGAACACCTCATTCCTCATTCAAACAAAAAGTGTCCGATTTCCATCAATGTTAGTTTCATATCTTCATAAGTCTTCCAACTGTTTGAATCCATTTATACTCATATCCGATAGTTGAGAGCTAATTAGAATAATTAACGACTTCGTCCAGTATTCTTCATGATGCCAGCTATCCTCTTCGGCATTATGTTGTGTTCACTGCCCTAATCCTATCTAATTGCTATTGTCAGGGATCAAATTCGACATACTTCTTCTATCAAGTCACGAGTTACGCAACCTCTTTATAACTGTTCTTCCATCTTTTCATATCTTTCATTATTTAAAGTCTAACAAAAAATCGTTCTAACTTTTCTAGAAAACGAAAAGATCTCATACGGCGTCACTGCCATGGGGAGAGAATAATTGATTGGCCAGATCATCGTCCTCGTTCTCTTTATTTCGTGTTTTCTTTACGTCAAACCTCGCTTCATCCCCATCTCTTTCATCCTTCTCTCTCCCTCCTATTTTCTCTCGTCATTTAACCCTCTCCCCATGTGCGTCTGAGTGTGGAAACGAAGAGTATGTTCAATAAAGGGGCTCATGTTTGGTCCCCTAATCAATACACATCTCCCCGAAATGTATGATGATTTGAGAAAGAGAAACTGAGCTTAATCAACAATTTGTTTGAAGAAAAAACTTATTTTCACTTTTGAGCGGCTCATTGCATACCTTTCTCGTCTTGTTTCCTTTAGAAACCGAAATATAATCCTTCACGTCTTCAAAGCTCGAACAGATGGTATTTTACGTTCTCGACCTCCCCACAACCATTTCCGAAATAGTTGTGGATGATGACAGGTGCGATTACGGAACAAAAAATACTTTATACTCTTTTCCCATAACCACATAAGCGATCGAATTGATTTGGAGTAATGAACATAAGAAATTGGACCGAATCATCATCTGCCAACGTATTCTCCGTGGTCATGAGGTGAGGGACGTAAAGTAAATTGGCGGGAAACATCTATTGTTCGTCCCAACATCTGCGCTATTAGATAAGAAAAGAGAATGTTGAGGAAAAGGATGAAGAATAAGATGATGGCCGGGGAACATGACAAAAACGGCTTGTGGACACCCTCATTTCGACCTCTCTTCTCTCTTTCTTCACGAAATTTCGTTTTTTGTTGTGCGTCTCTGCATTTCTTTGTCTCTGTGTTCTAACCCTCTCTTCCTCTTGTTCTCTAACTTTTTCCTCTTTTTTTTTGAAGAGAAAATGCTATAGTTCAACCATTGACTAGACGACAGACAAAAAGAAAAAAACAATGACCCCTAAGAGATGGACGTTAACATTAAAAGAGAAATGAAGTTAGGTAAAATGAATTCGATTGTATATGACGGGGAAGGAAGAGAGCAACAAGATGACAACTCTAAACAAATCGTAGTCAATGAACCGAAAGTTTTGGAGCTGAACAACCGGAAAGAATAGAGTTAAATAAAAGGAAATTAGCAACAGTTAGAAGTATTTGATGCTGATATATCTTATCTCAAATGCTATATTAAATTCGGATACTTGTCACGATATATTTCTGTTAGAAGTGAATACAATGGTATGAAGAAAACATCCATAAAAGAAAACAATAGCAGACGAAAAAAAGAGGGCAAAGGTTCACCGGGCAAGGTGACTAAGCTCATTATATTTTTCATGTTTCGTTTATAAGAGTGAAAACCTCAGAAAAGGCCACAGAACATATATATTTGAGAGGAAGAGATGGAAAGGAAAAAGGGATGAATAGAATGTTCCTTGGTCTAGTACGGAGACACTCATAGTAATCACATATGCGAGCATCGATCTCACGCTATTAATAGGTTTGGTTAAATTTATTCACTTCGGTTTTATTCATTATGTTTCGAAATTTGAGCATAAAAACTATCAAATATCTCCTTTCCCAATGGACAAACTACTCAAGGAAGAATTTAATGAATATTAGCAAAGAAATCGTTGTGAGTAGTACAGCAGATCATAGAAGGAAAGTTCACCAAGTGACGAAGAGCTTATATAGCATATTATCAAAATCTTTAATTTGAAAAATTAAGCGAAGATTTAGAGTAATAGGACTAAGAGAGACTAATTATCTCAATATGACTAAGTGAAAAAGCACCTGATAAACATACAACCATAGATCACAGATATGTCATAACCCAACCTAAACCCTACCAGAGAGTATTTAAATAGGACAGTCTAAAGCATAGAAACACAGAATATACAAATGTTGAAATATGTAACGACTATTCGCTATCACTATCGTCATCGCTTATGAATGATATATTCTCTTCCGTCCTCACAGGTTTGAAACCCTTAATTCATCTATATCAAAGAAGTTAAATTGTTAACTTACTGATCGATCAAAACCGCCATTTGATGGTCGTATTTTTCTCACACAAACGAAAGAGACTCCCAAAACTATGATTGCAATAAGAAGTAGTGCTGGAAGAGCTGAAGAGCTTGTCAAGACCGGACTAGTAGAAGCCACGGTAGCAGCATTATGTGCTACTACACCTTCTTTTTGAATCTTAAATAAGCCAGTTGAGAATGATTTTTCCTCATACTCTATATACTCTGAACTTCCATAAAACAGATTTCCCTTCAGCTATGTCGCCAATATATACACTTTGGCCTGATGGATCAACTCGCAACACATGAGGAGCACCAAATGCTCGGGAAATTCCGCTAAATCCGAACTCAATCAATCCAGTGCCACCTCGTCCTGCATATACTTCAATATCCTGTCTTTCCTATAACAATATCTCAATTGCTTCAAAAGGACATACACTCACAAGGCTCATGCGTCCGGGAATCATGAAGATGTAATCACCCAGAACATCTACTGAATATATGTTGTTAAACAAACTGAAAAAAACAATGTTAACGCCCGAGCTGAACGTGACTGAACCTAGAAGCCCATTCTTGGACGTATTCGCCATTTGTTGTTAGTTCTTGAACTCTGCCGTTCTCTCGATCAGCAACCAACAAGTTTTTCTGAGAGAAGCATTAATATTATCAACAAGAGTTTTCAAACCTTTGAATTAACCCGAATATCATGGGGAAGCTGGAATTGAGTTGGTCCATTTCCGGGAAGACCGAAAGAATTCTGAAGGGATTAATTTTATGAATATGTTACCCTGAGCAATCTTACTAGGATTTTTCCATCAATAGTAATTTTCACAATACGACTATTACAATATCCATCAGCAACATAAAGTATGTCCCCTAAAACATTACCCGATTAATAGTATGATTGCATTCCACACACCTTCTCTAGTTATACTTGCAGGCTTACAGAAATGTTTGAGATCAGTACCAGGCATGAGGTTCTGTCCTAATTGCCAAATCAAATCGAGATCTGAGACATACATTGCATTTAATGTGTAAAATCTCTTTTTACCTCCGCCGGTGAACTTCCACTTGGCCACAGTGTGTGAACCAACATCTGTGGTATATACATAACCATCATCATCACAATAAATTCCGTGAGGTAAATAAAACCTGGGAAGATAGAAAAAAATATTTGAATATGTTATTCTAAATCAACTTGTCCTTTCCGAGGGCATGAACAATCTTTGGTTCACGACCAGAAACATCTAACACGAGAATAACATTATCTCTGATTGGTGTTTTATCCAGTAAAATATTATAATTGTCAAATGTGCTAAAACGAAGAAAATAGAAAACAAGTATCTAATTGAACTTATTACTTGGCATTCCAAACTCTGTCTGCTCGATGAAAAACAATTAAATTCCCATTAGATTGGAAGGCGAGTCCTGCTACTTGGCCAATTTTAACATCACCAATCTTTCCCAACGCAAACTCTTCAATTATTCCAAAAGGTGTCTTAAAAACAAACAAGTTTGTTAGATTTTTGTACACACATACAGAGCTTTGATGAGCGTGATGTTCCCATTCTGGATGAGGTGGTAAAGTTTCAAAGCCCTCTTTAGGATAATCTAGAAACGCTCCCTATAAAATATAAATATGCCTAATGTTGTCGTTGAGTGTATACGTCAACTTGTTCTCCACCACATACTGCTCCTTTAGGAAAGGGATTTTCTTTGTTGGAATCCCAATAGAACATCATGTAAAAATTGCACATTTCATCTGTTCCCATCGCTCTGAATAGAAAAATACTAATTGATTAGAGGATAATTTCAATATTTGTTCAAATAGAATGTCATTTTTTGACACCTTCAAAACAAATACTATCAACTGACATACCCCATTGGAACCCAATTTGTTTTATCATGAGAATCGAAACGACAGCTAGCCGCCATTATATCTCCATTTTTTATTGTTAGTGGATCATGAACTTCTTCGAACAACTGAAATTGTAAATAAACATATTTTGTTCGGTTCTCGATAAGCAATCAAAATATTGTAGATAAGAGTAATTATGAGCGACTCTCCATATAATACAGAAGAAGCAGATAACAGAAAAAAACAACCGTTTCGCTTATTCTCTAAGTCTAAAGTAGAGTGCTCGACGCGGAAGAGAATTTTACGTCAAACATTATGCTAATGAACGATACGTATCTCACCTGCGGCCATTGGGGATTACGAGCACCAATTTTAGCCCAGATGTTATTGTGTTTGTTGTATGCTGATACTACTCTTCCCATAGCATGAGTATGAGTGCGGAAAGCAAAAGGATGAATGTCAGTCGGTGATTCATAAACACACGAAATATTGTTCTGAATAATAAGGTTTCCACTCTAAAAATCAACTCCCAAAACCTGGTGTTGAGCTTGGCCTGGAGGTATAGGTTGACCCGAAACAAACAACATTACAGCAGCTAGGTTTGCTGTAGGTTTTTGAGAAATGTGCAGAGTAACCCCGGAATAGTCCTTCACGTTTCCAGCAAAGGGCTGCGCATAATGCACCTGAATAACTGTATAGTAAATAACTGAGGAGTGTTAAACCTGTAAGACGAAATATTTAATGCCATCGTTTTCATGGCCTATTGAAAAAGAAACACCTTTAGGTAAATCAAGGTTTGGTGCTGAATTGTGTTCTATGAAGTGGCGGTAACGGTATGAAGTCTAACCGTTTCGTGCCCAAGCGAACAAAATGTGAGAACCCCCCCTTCCACATGTATTCATTCCTTCCCAAAACTGGTCAGCATACGGTGTTGTGCATCCGTACAACAGCATATGATGTACTCTGTCCGCATTTGCTAGAGGCTCAAAGCCCACTGCGATAAGAAAATGTTTTGTAACAAGGAATGCCGTCTATCATACCAATATATCCTGGAATAGCCATACGAGAAACAGCTACATAATCATCATTCTAAGAGATTATTCACAGTCAAATTATATCAATTTTTTTACCTTTTTTGGTGAATAACCAATCATTTGTACAGTAAATTTAGTAATATCAGATTCAGTTCCACTTACGCCATATAAGAATATTGTTAGAAAAAATATTGAATAATGTAATGGAAGCATGGCTGAAAACGATGGCTTGTTAACTTAACTATTAGTGTGCACTAGTTAGCAATACGACAAACAGTCAGAAAATCCGAAACTGTTCCGTCAACACCTTGGATTTATTAGGAAAGAAATTGGGTACTCAGCTAATACTCACGGAATTGGGCAAATAGCGAAATGTGGTCAACAGTGGACTGTCTAACAGCAAAGGTCATTTGAGAAAGTTAATCAATATAAAAAAAACTTTTGTCGTTAATATCTATACAATACTTTTCTTGAATTTGTGTATAAATTTGATTCAGTTGATGGTGTCAGGCACATCAAAAACGTTAGTGATTCTGGGACATGTCTTCGAAAAGAGGTCACAATTCACATATCTTCTCCACCTACTTCAAATATCCGAAGAAAATCATATATTTGCGTAAAGACGTCGACACAAAAATGCTTTTTGCACAGAACAGAAAAACATAAAGCTTTGCCAGCGAGAGTTCAGTTCTAAAATGGTGTGCGCAACATGTAAGTGTTTATTATTAATCTGTACTGACTTCAATTTCAAGGTGAAAAAAAGTTAACTAAAATCGTTGGAGTTGACCCTTACCGAAACAAGCTTCATAACAAGAGCTTGGGGGGTGGAGTGAGTAAAGCAAAACCTAGTGGCTCAACGAATAAATTGATAGGGGTTCAGAAAAAGTGAGTTGTGTTTTGATTTCAATTGTTTTTCATTTTTTTTCGTTTTCCAATTGATTGTTTGTTTTCAGAGCGACGATTGCTGGAGTCAAGTGTAAGCTTTGTAAATGTTCTATACACCAAGTAGGATCTCACTACTGTCAAAACTGCGCCTACGAAAAAGGAATATGTGCGATGTGTGGCAAAAAAATACAGAAAGTAGCTGGTCTTAGACAAAGTAATGTTTAAATTAACAATAACCGTGTTATAAAAAAACGGTCCTCATGTATCTTCCATCTCAATTTAATGTTTCCAATTCGGGTATTTCTATTCAATATGTAATAAACCTGTTCCACACTTAGTAAGCACAACACTCGTTAGGGAGATCTTTGTTCAAATAATTAACCGAACAATTAATTTTAATAACAAGCGAAGTTTTTCAATATTCTGATTGACACCAAATCTTGAAAGTGCGATCGAAGGCGGCAGAGATGATCCATTTGCCATCTGGACTAATGTCAACACACATAATCTGAATTAAGCACACTATGGTGTGTATATTCGTGGGTATCTTACTTTCGTATCATGTCCTTGCAATTGACGAAGAGGCTGCCATCCTGTAGCGGACCACAACTAAATGATTTAAATAGCTGTGCTTTAATTTTATGATAACAAACCTTCAAGGTACAATCAAAACTGCTGGATATGATGTACTGTCCTTTACTGTCTGCACGAACTCTGGATACTACGCTGGTATGTGCTGGCATTGTATATGTACATTTCCTCATGCGCAAATCCCAAATCTTGAGAGAATTATCCGCGCTACCTGTTACCATTTCATATCTTGAATAAGTATATAGGATTTGGGAATAATGCTATACAAACCCATTAGGCATCCATTCAACAGCATGAATCTCTTTCGTATGCCCATCTAGGAACATAATACATCTCCCGGTTCGCATATCCCAGACACGTCCGTAACAATCATGGCCAGCTGTTAGAGCGACAGATCCATCGCATTGGAATGCTACATCGGACACGGACTAAAAATAGGAATGAGGTGTGCCTTTAACTGAACAAACCTTGGCGTGCCCTTCTTGGAACAAGAGATCTTCTCCAGTCTCCACATCGAACATTCTCCATGAGCTGTCAAAGCTTAAGCAAAAGAAAATTTGAAAAGATTGGAAAACAGAGCTCACCAAGCTGTGGCCAAATGCCGACCGTTTGGATGAAAAGCTATTCTAGATACACGTGCAGGATGAGACTCAAGTTGAGCTAACGGGGTCTCCTGGTCCAGTGACCACAAATAAACAGTTCCTGAAGGGTTAAATTTGTTTTTTTTTAGCATAAAATCGTTACCATCATGACCACTGGACGCTACATTCAAAGTTGATGGATCATTTGCAACAAACGCTCCGGGATGAAAACGTGCACAACCACATTGCGATTGATGACCGGTATATCTCATCACTGGGGCGCATGTTTCCCTTTTCCATAAACATGGTTGACCTGACCACCCTGCCGTAACTACAAAACAGAACTTTTCAGAAGAAGGTCTACTGCTTAACCTATGTGCTCTGAATCCGGTGAGAATTCACAAAACGCAACTGGTCTATTGTCAGCAACTTGCGAAGCATGTAAGTTCAACTGCTGCACCCATTTATGGGCTTCTTGACGAGCCAAAGCTTTTTCATGAGAAGGCTTAGTTAGCTCTTCGCGCGCCGATTCCAACCTGCCATTAGTAAACTGAGAGAATTTATCCAAGTCTGCACAAACCTTGCTTTCGCTCTCCGCAAAGAAAAATCAGCTATGGCTACTCTAGCAGCTCGCAAGGATGGGGGGCCTCTATGATACCACGTTGTTGTTTCTTCATCAGGTTTTTCAACATATGCCTTGAAAACACAAAGTTAAAATTAAACGAGAAACATTCCTACTTCATCTGTGTGTAATATAGCCGTGACCTGATCTTCTGATAAGGTTGAAAGAATAGCTCTCAGTCGTTCGCGTCTATCAAGAATATCTTCTCCGAAAAGGCAAATGGGCTGATTCAATCTTCGGAGACGCAGTTTAACCTATGATAGATTGTGGATTTCAAATCTCAAGAAGCTCATATTACCTGCACATCATCAGTTGGCAGAGTAAGAGTTCTTGCTTTCCTTCTTCTTTCGAACTCAGCGAGAACTTGAGCATCCTGTTGACCATGTATTGGGTCTATAGCCATACGCTCAGATTTGGCATCTGAGGCATAATCAGTGGTCGCCTTATAATTTCCATGTAATTGCTCGATTATATAGTAACTTACTCGAATTGCTTGCACAGCTTCTGGAGTAGCAAGACTTCCAAATGTTCTTCTTCCTTCATCCACCATCTTTTCAAAAACAATCAGAAAAATCATCAGGGGAATTTCAATATTAAGGTCTTTAACCCATCGGAAAACAATATTTTACGAACAAGAAGTATTTATTGTACACACCGAAAACTTATATATCGTAATAAGCACTACTTACTCTCCGAAATATTACCATGAACATTCCCCCCGTATTAATCAACATCTTTCATTTTTCGACATTTGAACTTCTGATACTACCTGAGTGGTTATTACAGAAACAAACTCACGTGATACATTCAGAAGTAGCCCAGAAAATAATGTTAGTAAATTCGTTGCAGTACATTTGACTGTATCGTGCACAGTATACAAATTCTGCTTCTGTTCTACAAGTCGATATTTTCATGTCGACGAGCATACGCAAAAAGCTCATCATACGAATAGGAATTAAAATTTGCAACACAATACTGTTTCATTCAACTATCTCCATCCCATTTTGATTGATCGAAGAAAACAGTTACACCATAAAAAACATGTCAATTAAGCATACTGTGCTATATATAGGTTTTGTCATGAACTTAATATTTGTACAAATCTGTGTATAACTGAGTTTATTGGGAAAGTTATGGAAGAAATATTGTGCAATGTTATGCTGCAATCCTCAATTTTCAGCAACTGTACATGTTCTTTGTAAGAGATTTTGTTTGAATTGAAACCTGGGTCAACATCTAGGAATTCTATTGACTAAATACAGTTAAGATTTTTCATCGTTTATATCAGTTCCCTGCATTTCACATTAAGCACGAATGAAACGGAACACTGATTGCAAAACTCGGTACATTGACATTCCTTAAAAAAATCTGATTTCGGATACGACTAACAATTCTAACTCTCGT